GAGTTGTGCCATCCACTCAGAAGGTCCTGCACTCAGAAGAGCTGCTTTGCCTGTGGCTGCTGGGAGCATGGTGCCACATCCAGTCCCTGGCTTTGGCAGCCCCTGGGGCAGGAGCATTGGAGGGTGCCCCTATGATGGCACTTACCGCAGTGCAGGAGACTAGGCACTGAGGTCCCTCCTGGGCCTGCCCTGTATCTCTGGCCAAGTCCTTTGGGTGCTGGGGACGGTGCTGGGGGCAGTTTGGGTCCTGCCCGCAGACCCCATGTGCCAGGCTAGGCTGAGCCGCTCATTCAAGGTGCACCATGCAGTGGATGGGGCTGTTCAGAATCTTGGATCCCATGCACCGTGGGATTCTGGGCCCAGGCTGAGGATCTTAGCAGTTGGGGTTTGGCTGAGACTTGCAGCACTGGCATCTGGGAAGTGATGGTATAGTGTGCCAGGCTGGCGGTGCCACTGCACCAGAGGGCAGATGTCCCCCAGGCTGTCCCTAGCCAGGGGCACTGGCTGAGGCTAACAGGTGGGGGGAGTACAGACATTTCCGGGATGTCTTGACCTCAGGGGAGCCTTGTAGCTTTGCTGTTGGTATGGTGGGGAATAAAGGTCAGGGATAACCAGGAGCAGGGCCTAGAATGGGACCCTCAGCCCGTGAGGCAGGGTGGTCACCTCCTGATAGGCTCTGGATGCCAGGAAGAGTCCCAGCAGCAGGCTGCGTTCTTAGGGGCTCACGGGCTGTTACCACTCTGCATACGCTGTCATTGGGCATCTCTTAAGGGTCGGGTCCTGCTGCGAGGCAGAGCATGGGTCTCAGCAGCTTGGGACCCTGGTGCTGCTTGGCGCAGCTGCAGGCTCAGAGCGAGGAGGACCTGGGCGCCCCCTTGCAGTGTATCCTGTGTCGGATGCGGCACAAACTCGCCCCTCCCTGTTTCAGGTCAGGCAGCAGTTGAGTGAGATGCAGAGCCACGTGTCAGACGGTGACATGGCTGGGTCCCCAGGAGCCCCCTCAGCCAAGCAAGACCCTGTGAAGGTGAGAGTGTGACTGGGCCTCATGCCTGTCCCCGTCGGCCAGGCTGGGAGCAGCATAGGAAGGCACTCGTGCCCCTGAGGCCATCGCTGGGGCAGTGCTGGCAGGCCTTGCCTGGGGTTGGTCCTGCCTGGTGGCTCCAGAGGTTGCTTCAGCACCTCCCTGTGAGCCACCCGCTCCCTGGATAGGTGGGGAAAGCAGGGCTGGGAAGCAGCTAGGAAGTGGCCCCAGGCCCCGCAGGCCCCTTTTGGTGCCCACGTCACGCCCCGTGTCTCCACACAGCTGCAAGCACAGCTGGAACGGACGGAGCTTGCCCTGGAGGAGGAGCAGGTGCAGCGGCAGAAGCTCTTGGCCGAGTTGGAGGAGGTCAGGCCCTGCCCTGCAGCCCTGGGAGCCCTTGGGGACCCTCAGCTTTGGGCTTTGGGTCCCAGGAGTGAGCCGGTGCTGGCCCTGCATGGCCTGGGTGGTCCGGGTGGCCCTGGTCAGGCTCACAGGGTTTGACCGCCTGCTGCCCTACAGGCACGGAGCACAGCAAGCCGGCTACAGGAAGACCTGGAGACACTGCGTGCTGCTGGTCCCCCGTTGTCTGCCAGCACCGAGGAAGTCGCACAGCTGAAGGTAGAACAGGCTGGACTGGGTCAGCCCGGGCTGCACTGCAGGGTTGTGGCCCCGGCATAAGGAGAACAGACTGGCCTGGCCCATTTCCCTGGTGCCCCGTGGGAGGGAGCATCGTCCCACAGCAGTAGGCTGTGCCCTGCCCTGTGCCTAGCGCCCCTCACATGCTCCGTACTTGCAGGAGGATGGCAGCGGCCCGAGGGAGGGCACCTCTGTTTGAGCCTCCGAGGAGAGAAGTTACTGTTCCTCTTACCAAAATGCCTTACACATTCCTCACAAATGAACCAACGACACAGCGTTCGTGAACCAGGCCCAACTTCCAGAAGCTCCGAGAGAAGCCATCGGAGATGATCATCTTCCAGACCCCGCTGCACAAGACCCTGTCACGTATGGAAACACTATTCTCGGAGCGGCCCGGCTGCCTGCACGGACGCCAGTGCGCCTTTGACCTGACACGGGCGCGGGAGGCCGGGACCGGCGACGCCTGCCAGTGCAATGTCAAGTCTCCTCAGTGGGGCAGGGCTGGGACGCGGCGGGGAGGGGGTCCTTGGAGGCCACAGCCTGCCCCCGTCACCGCAAGGAACTGTGTGTGACCTCCTGGATGTTGATGCCATTAAACCGACGTGTTGCCCGGCACTGGGTCTCGAGTCTCCTGCTGGGGCCACACGGGGCAGCACAGCGTAGGTCTGGCTCACAAGCCAGGGGATCTGCGGCACCCTTGTACCACGGTGTGTCTGTCACTTGCCAGGCGGGGAAGGGAGCAGGGCCTGTGGCAGTGAGCCCTGGACAGAGGTCCTTTGAGCAGGGTGGGGTTGGCCCAGGCTGTGGAGGGCAGGGAACTCTAGGAGAGAGCCGGGGTCACTGTCCTTCCAGGGTGGGGGAGACCCAGGGCCACCACCCCCACTCCGCCAAGGCAGAAACCCACACAGATTTTGAGAGTTGGGACACAGAGCCCTGGGTGGCCCAGGAAGTGTGGTAGGGGTAACATGGCCAGAGGTGGGGCTGTTTCTCCAAGTGACCATCTGCAAGAGATAGGGTCGGCTTCGGGGCGTGGTTCCTCGTCCAGCAGGCAGTGCCCAGGGCTGCTGGAGCAAATACAGGATCCATGTCCCCACGCAGCCTCCAGGAGCTGGGCAGAGCGCTGGCCACACGGCTGGGAGCAGCTCCTGAAGACAGCGGCCTAAGGGTTTAGCTGGGCAGTGTGGCAAGTTTGGGTCTAGGGTGGTGGGTGAGTCCTGTGGGTCAGCTGACACAGGCCCTTGAAGCTTCGTGGCACATAGCCTCCTGCTACCGCTACAGCCTCTGTGCAGCCAGGGCCGCCGCGCTTCCCAGGTAGAGGCAAAGCTGCTTCCTGCTCTTCGGGAGCACAGCGTACACCACAGGGGCCTCTGTGCAGCCAGGGCCGCCGCGCTTCCCAGGTAGAGGCAAAGCTGCTTCCTGCTCTTCGGGAGCACAGCGTACACCACAGGGGCCTCTGTGCAGCCAGGGCCCATGTGGCACTGAGCACAGGTGCCAGCTACCTGGAACAGCTCCCAGGCAAGGTGGGCTCACGCTAGAGACCACAGGGAGACGAGGTATCTTGGACATGGCAGGGAGGCAACGGGATACCGGCCAAGTGAGGTGATGGTCACACTTGTTCAAGAGCTCCTGGGTCAGATGTTTTCACTGTAGTCTTGTGAAAGGATGAGCAAGAAAGAGGGACAGAAGACGGAGGCTGAGGCTGCAGTGCTAGCTTGGCTTGGCTGTGGCCTTTGGTGGAGACTGACTCCTCTGGGGCACAAGGCCTTGTACCCTGAGCAGCGCAGGACTCTACTACACAGTGCCCTCTGAGACCGAGCCTGAGGACTGTTCCGGGAAGGTGGGGTATGGGGGCAGGACTCCTCTGCACGTAGTGGCTGAACCCAAGGTTGACGGTCTATCATGGCAGGGAGTGAGGAGGGGACACCAAGGCCCCTACTGAACTGCCATCCTTGGGCTGGGGTCCGCGCTGCAGCAGAAAGCACATCCTGTCCTGAGGGGCCCCACTGGAGGCACAGGAGTTGGGGTCACGAAGCTGCTAGCTTTGGTAGGAGCAATGGCCTGGTGGTGGTGGCAGAGATGACATGCCCTCAGGACAAGGCCCCCCGCCAGACCATCCTGCTGACCTCCCAGCTGCCCAGTAGTCCTGGAGCACAGTGGCATCCCCCTCCCCCGGCCAGCAGAGGCTGGGCTCAGCAAACAGGCCACTTGAATATCCCCTGCAAAACCCAGGAGTGGCCTGACAGCCCTGGCTGCTGGGGGCCACTTGGGGTGAGGCCCAGCTCACTGGGCAGTCACATAGCTTCCTGAGCCTGTAGGTGTCAGGGACACCCAGGACCTTCCCCCAGGTGAAGGTCTCCCAGATCACAGCCACAGGGCAAGTATCCTCACAGGAGGATGCTGGCCTGGAAGAGGTTGGGGATGGCAACAAGGCTGTGGGTGAAGTGAGGCAGACAGGGCTTCAGAGGACCTCCTTGGTGCTGCTTGTCCCCTGAAGTCGCACCCATGGTACTGAGCGAGGCTGACCTCTGAATCCAGATCAGACTGCAGTCCGAACTGTCCAGGGTGCTAAGAACAGCTGAGGACCAGGAACCTGGAGACCCAGTGTTTGTCCCAGTCCCACCACTTGTAAGGCAAGTGAGCTGGTCACCCACACGTGTCACCCTGAACCTGGTACCAGTCGCGCACCCACCTACAGGCGTGCACAGGGCCACAGCCTGCCCATGGACAGAGGACGCACAGCCTGTATCAGCCAAGAGAGGACCACTGGACTAACCATTCTGCTGTCACTCTGGTCATGTTTACACAGACTCACAATGGCTCCGCTGCTTTGTGGGGGCAAGGGGGTAACCACCAGATGAACCTGAACCCCTAGCAGCCCCCTACTTTTTCCATAATGCGGCAGTCCACACCCTATGCTGCTCGGGTCGTCTGGAGGGGCTGTTGGCACGGTGCCTGGCCCCAGCCCTGGTGCCTGTGGGGAAGTTGGAAGTAACCTTCAGCACCCCTACTTCTGGAGGAAAAGGGGTAGAGACACTGGCTTGGTGTGGTATGACCCTCCGTGCTGCTCCTACAGGAAGTGGCCCTGGGCCCTCAGCTCTGGATGGGAGAACAAGTGGCCACCCCTTTTCCAGCCAGTCTTGAAAGCTGCTTTGATGAAAGCATGATTTCTTTTGCCTCCCAAAGCCTAGCCTTGGCTTAAACGTTAGTAAGAAAAGGGTTCCCAACTTCCTCGTTCAACCAGAGAAGGCGGAAGCGGAGACCCTGTGAGAAACCCCAGGATCCCCTTGTAGAAGGCAAAAACCCTCCATCCCCAACTCACACGTGAATGATGACACCAGAGAAGTTAACAATGCTTCCTTTATTACATAAAGCCAGTTACTACTTTTAAGATCGACTGTGCACTTCTGTCTTGTTCAAATTTCATGCCTGTGGTGTTAAGGACAAGCACATCCGCATGTCACTAGGCACGGCTCCCTACTCAAGTGACAGACTGCCTAGGAAACAGCTCTCCCAGACCCGATGAAACACCGAGGTTCTTGCCGTCACGTGTACTGGGTGCGCAGCTCTAAGGGAGCCGCAGGTGCAGTGTCCTAGACTACCTAGATTATTTTCACTAGAAAGCTGACTACAGCTGAGCCCTAATTTGCATTAGAACTAGACATCCCATGGCCTTTGCCACACCACCATGCAAGGTGTGGGGACAGCCACGCCCTCCCACGCTGCGCCCCTGGAGACGGGCTTCGCAAGATGAGTGAGAGTCACAGTGGGGGCGACTTCGAGGCAGGCTCTGGAGCGCAGTGGGGAGGTCTAAAGGCTGCCCGGGGCCTGCGGCTAGCGGGTTAGTGTGTGTACGTGGTAGGGAACATCCCATTCTGTGTGGGTCAAGGAAAAATTCTGGGCCAAAATTTTAACCCGCTTATAATCAATTCTCTAAGCAAAAGAAACAAAGTAACTGCAGAGGTTAAAGAAAGACAGAACCATTCTCTTCCTATGGCCTCTACACTGTTTTGTGAACTGTTATTAAAAATCCTGAGCTTAACAAAAATCTTTGTAAGTCAACTCATCAAAACAGGCATTGGGCCAGTAAGAATTTCATGTCACACCAATTATACTTTGGATGCTAGGTTTATTGAGGGCCGCATTTGCACAGGTTTATAGAATATTTACTCTAAAAGATGACAAGACAGCTCCCCTCAGTGAGACCCTGGCGTAAATGCATCTGCTTTACTTATTGAGCAAGAGGGTAACGTTAAACACGGAAGCTTTCGGCTGTGGCACTGGAACGATGCTACACGGGGCACCCTTCAAAGGCTACGATCAAGGACCCGCCCAGCTTTTCGGCAATGCAAGCCCGATTGAGGTCTTCCGGGCCGTTCGCTTGACATTCGTGTTTTATGCCTGGAGAGGAAAAACAACAATCCTATTTAGAATTATGGCAGCACCTTAACTGTTTATGATATCAATCTGTTTTTAAAGTTCACTTCTATGAGCAAACTGTGTTATTTACAACCCATAAGCTACTACACACAAGGGCTGGGGATTTAGCTCAGCCGCAAAGCGCCTGCCTGGCAAGCGCAAGGTCATGAGTTCAATTCCCGGTAACAGAAAAAAAAACAAAACAAAACAAAACAAAACCCCAAAAAAGAAAAAAAAAAGCTACTACACACAAGTAATAGGGAATATTAATCTGGTAACTCCATGCATCAAACTGGATGTTGCTCACAAACACGATACTACGAGACAAGCGTCTGTTCTGTGTAAGTCTGCCTGTATGTCATTGAGGGGTGGGAGTGGGGGGAGCACTCGAGCACACACATGCCCTGGCTAGTTACAAGCTCACAGAGAGCAGCGGGAGGGGAGGGGAGGGCAGGGCAGGGCAGGGCAGGGCAGGGCCTGGGGCATCATGACGATATTCGGACTGCCAGCACTCATGGGGCGCCCGTGACTTAGAAGGGTATGTTATACATCAATAAAAGTAAGTCAAAAGGCAGGTCCTGGCTTAATGGCCCAGCTGCTTTAGTCGACTGGACTGGACACAACCAGCTCTCCGGTGCAGGGACACCACACACGTAAAGGACATTTGCAGTGAGAACCACAATGTGGTGCCGGTAGCTTTCTTAGAAAGCGACAGCACCAGCCCACAGCACGTAAGAAAAGCACTGCCTTCACTAGCTGGCTCCTGGGTACCACACAAGGACCGTCTCTGACTTGCAGGGACGGCTCCCTGATGCAAGACTGACCAGGAACCGAGATGGTTTCAACAGAGAACAGACAACTGGGCATCACCACAGTCTACTCAGGAAGCCCCCTGGGGCAAGAGCACTACAGTGAGGACAAGGAACCTGCTGCGACTCTTGGTGTCACTATCGAAGTGCTGACTCTGAGGGACATGCCACTGACCTTGCTCCTGGGGAGGCCCCCTCACCAGCCCCCACACACGAACATCCTGAGCAAGCACAGAACCACGCGGCAGTAGCGTGACGACAGGAAGAATGGGCACAGAGACACAACCGGCCACTCTGTGACCCTGGCCACATAGGCAGCCAGCGGCACACACTCAGCCACAGTCATAGGGGTTAGACAAGCAGGGCCGCAGTCACGCCGTGGCTCACGCCTCATGCTAAGCCACCGTACCAAGGCTTCCTCCTGGCCGTCCAGGCCCGCCACCCCGTCGGGACGACGCCCCAGCAGCCAGTCAGTGTGACCAGCCAGCTTGGGCCATGAGCATCTTCCTTAGGCACAGACAAATCCACGACCTAAAAGCACGCCGTCCACGGTGAAGCTGGGGGAATGTGTGCTTCATTCCGGCTCAGGACGCCGCCTTCTTGCAACCTGGCTCTGTTACTACATTCAGGGCATCAAAAAGGACGCTAAGGCTGACTGAGGCCCCAGGCTCACCCTGTTACACGGGACGCTAAGTCTGAACCGTCCAGGGCAGGGGAGGGACAGGCAGCCTGGGGACAAGGCAGGGGAGGGCTGGGCAGTGCTCAGCCTCGGGCTCTCCCTCAGAGCAAGCCCAGTTTCCCCTTCCTTGTTCTCAAAGCTGCTCTGTTACGAAAATGAGGCACTTTTGGGGGTCCCCACACCACTAAGGGCCAAGCCCCACACATACCTTGGAACTTCTTTTTGATGGCGTCCTTGGAGCTGGCGTAGATCATCTTACTCTTCAGAGGGGCCAGTTCTGGGGCCCTGGACAGAAGGAGGCCAAGAATGAGCAAACCCGCTGAGGAAGGACAGCTGGATCTCGAAAGCGAGCAGAGGCTCCATGCTTCGGAGGGGCCTCGGCATCCCGGACAGCATGTCTGCTCCTCAGATGGCGGGCAGCGCCATGGGTGCCCCAAGGAAAGGGGAGCACCGCCAGTAGAGAAAGTGAAGAGCACTGCTGACTCAACATCAGATTAATGCAGCCAAGTGTGTGGCACAAGCCTATAAGCCTGGCAGTATGGGAGGCTGAGGAAGGAGAGAACTTCAAGTTCAAGTGTAGCTTAAGAACACTCTGTCTCAAAACAAAAAGGGGCTGTGGATGTAGCTTACCGTGAAAGTCCTGGGTTCAACCCCAAGCACTGTCAAAAAAGAAACAAAGCCCAGTGAAGACTTCTGAGCATTTGCCAATTTCATTTAGCAGGTCTCTGGTGTATGGCACGCACTGTGCCCACCGCTACGCCACAAGCAGAGATGCTGCCCCCTGGGGTCAGGAGACAGCAGGTCTGTGTCTCCTGCTGACTCCTCCCAGCAGGGGCAAAGCCCTACAGCCTCAGGACCATAGAGTTTGGAGCTGCCAGGTACAGTGGGCGCTTCCATTACACAGAGAGCTGGGACACGGCCTGAGCTCACCCGCACTAGGCTGCACACACACGAAGAGCTGCGCTCTGTGCCTGGACAGCACTGCTGAGTGTTGCAGTTTGTGTCTGGATGTTCCCCTTAAAGCCTCACACAGTCATGGAGGATAGGCTTTGCGGCGACAGCTCAGTCTAGAGTTTGCGATGGATTCGTGGTCTAATGCTGGGATTAAGGGTGTGAGTGTTACACTCACTTTAGTGCAGGTGGCCTGCATACAATATAAGAGATGGAAAGAAGCTTGCTCTCGGCTCTTCTGGTTGCTTTTGCTGTCTTCTGCTGCCATGGCTGCCTTCTGCCATGCCAGCCTGCCTTAGGGCCAGCCGGTAACAGACTGAAACCTCTACAAACTGAACTGAATAAACCTTTCCTCCTTTAACCTTGGGTGTCATGTATTTTTTTCAGCAACAAGAGAAAAATAAGACACTGGGAAAGCATCTGTAGCAGTTTTATATTTTTCTGAAATAAGTAACAATGCAAAATAAACTACTGCACTTATACTGGATTTCCTTTTTTATTTTCAAAATGTTCATAGTTAGAAAAATACATAAAAGCCAGAAAAAAAACTCCTGCACACTAAGACATTCCATTTAGAAGCCCCCCACCTAGCTGGCCTCATCTGTAAAGCCACAGAAGCAGGGGCTCCCCGTCTCACAACTCGAGATCTGGTGCGCCCTTATTCAAAATCACAACAGCAGAAATGGGAAAGTCTTACTATCAGCTCCACCTGCGGCCAGCCTCGGTGGCAGCTGCCCCCAACCTCAGGGGCACGGGCCTCAAGGTACCAGTCTGACTCAGGCCAGGCAGCCTTGGGTGCTACAGAGCCACAGCATCTGGCCTAACTGTCCTGACAGGCCGGTGTTCCCAACCCATCAGGCTTGCCCCTTTCTCCCTAAACCAGCAATGGCAAACTTTTTAGAGCTCTTGATGACACAAACAGCTTACTGTGGCATGCGTGCTATGGGGTCGCCACCACTGCCCTACACTGCCAGTGGCACCCAGCTAAGAGCTACAGCCTCCCACCTGGGGTCAAAGACCCAAGAGAAGCTTGCACTCCCCAAAATCTGAAGGTGCTCTCACTCCCCCTTCCCCTCAGAAGGTGGAGAACATGCTCACCCTGGCCACATCAAGGCACACAGAACAGTGTGGTTAAATGAGGGACCAAAGTGCAAGGACTTCAGAAAATAAAAGACTTATGTCACCAGACTGGCCCTGAACTCATGGGCGTAAGGCATTCTCCTGCCTCAACCTCCCAAGCAGCTAGGATTACAAGAGCCGGCTCATGTGACTATTATCTAAAGCTTAATCTCCAATATTTTTGTACTCAAAAGGCCAGAATAATAAATATAAATAGCTCTTTGCTAGAATGGACCCAGGGCCTCAGGCATGTCAGGCAAGCATCTGCCACTGAGCTACACCTGCAGTCTCCCTATCTCTTTTGCTCTCCATAGGCGTGTGCCCTGCAGCCCAGGCCACCTACCCTCTTCTTTCAATATACACATTACACTATGGTACAGAATGCTTGCATATGTTCCTGCAGCACTTGCACACATGTATCACACGTTAGTATCTCTCACTTCACATGCACTGACTGCACTCGGCCCGGAAGAGCTAGGCCTGAGAGCAAAGGTGGCCCAGAGCTCTCTGCACTGCTAGGAATGTTTTCTATCCATGCAGAGCAAAGAGGTAGCTGCTAGGCACCTAAAATGTGGTGACTCGGAATGTAATGTTCATTTCTCACTAACTGCAACGTAATCAGCCACATTGTCTCAGGGCTCCCCACAGTGTGAGCTACAAGGAGGAAGCCCCGAGGCCCTGCAGAGGGTGGTGGGAGGGGTGGTGGGGTCCTGAGTTGGTGTGTGGAGGAGGAGGGAAGTTACACTTGTGCTCTATGAGCCACAGATGAACAGAGCCTGCCCCTGCCCCTTCCCACCAAAATATTATGTCAGTTACTGAAAGCTGCGCTCTCTGAAGCAAAGTGCAGTTCAAATTGTGTTTTGGCCCAGTTAAGCCCTCATGAAGACTTGTAAGTTAGAATTAGGTGATGAGGACTGCAAACAGCTTGACTAAAAACCACTCTGGTCAGGCCGGGGAGATAGCTCAATGGCACAAGCCCCTGCCTGGCAAGTGCAAGGTCCTGAGTTTGAGTCCCGATACCAAAAAAAACCCACTCTGGTCTTGGAACCAGTTCTCCAGTTCTCAAGTGCTGACAGTGAGATTACCTGAGAGTTACAGAGGGTCAGTATCGTGGTTTGCATTGAGATGTTCCCCCAAAGCCTCATGTGGTCACAGGTGGGGCTTTTTGGAGGTGGCTGGATGTAGGGTGTGTGATGCTGGGATTAAGGGTGCCCCACTCTGGGTGTGAGACCTACCCCACCCAAGGGCAGGTGGCCTGAATGGAATATAAGGGACAGAAAGAGGCCGTTTTGCTCCTTTGCTGTTTCCTACCTCCCCCGCTTGGCCATGAACCGTTGCTCCTCTGCCACACCACCCTGCCCTAGAGCCAGCTGACTATGGACTGAACTGTTTACAAACTGGGAGCTACATAAATCTCTGGGTGTTGGGTATTTTGTCCCAGCAACAAGGAAGTAACTAAGACGCTCGCTGTTCCTCACATGCTTACCACAAAAAGAACATCAGCTCTTCTTTCCTGGACTCCTTGGTCTCAAAGCTCGCATCATACAAGGCATAGCGACAATCCTTCTCAGGAAGCATCCCCACAAAATGCTTGAAGGGATCGGTGATGGTCACACCCACATCTCCAACCAAGATCTCTTTGCCTTCCTCAACGATGATGCACTTTTTGTCTGCACTGAGACAAAAAATGACAGCCTTCTTTCTTTTCTTGATTTCCTCTGGTGTGGAGCATTTCCGAACTTTCATGTCATAAAAAATGCGACATACTTCATCAGCAACTTGCACTCCTGAGGCCTACAGTGAGGAAAACAAGGAAGAAGACGCTTACAATTGTTTAATGCCGATACACGTGCTACTTGATTTCCAGTGACAGAAATCTTTAAGGTGGACTTATCATCCAGCAAAAAGGCTAAAAGTACTCAAGAGCAATCATTAATGATTCAGACGTGGAACTTGGTCTGGAACTTACACACATCACCCAAGCCTTCATCCCTTCATCCCCATCTCATGGTGTGACGGAGACTCAGACCAGCTCTACAGGCTAAAACCTGAAAAGAGTGCTCTTAGGCACACCTCTTGCTCTCACACAGGGTTCCCAGGGCCCCCGTCTGCACTCTGAACCAGGGACAGGGATGCCTAAAATTCCTTTCACAACACACAGTAGATGGCTGGAGCTGCTAAGTTAAAAACAATCCCATTCCTACAGCATCTCTTTCTCAAATAAGAAAAAAGCTACCTGTAAAGGTCTTTGTTCTACCCACATTTTACAATGAAAATAAATATTCACCAATCAGCCCTTGCTACCAAAACTCCACTTAGAGCCAAGGGTGCGGCCCAGTGGCACAGCACTGCCCAGTGCACCCAAGGCTGTGGTCCAACACCCAGCACCACACCCTCCCCCAGCTCAGACAACCTCCAAGTTTGAAATTAACCTTAGAATAAATATGAAAATGTTTACTGCTGATAAGGAAAAGGATAGCTTAATCTGGGGCTATACTGACCAGAAAAATAACCTTTTACCATGTTATACTTGCTATTCTGGGATAAAGAAGAGTTAAGCAAGATCTTGATGGCACAAGAGCTTAAAACCAGTTTTTAATCTTTCCTGCATTACAGAGTATGCTATTTACATTACCTTTAGTTAACAGAATTTTTATACTTTGTTAACTACTTTGGTTCACACACTAGCTTTTCAAAGAATTACAAAAATTTTAAACACTAAACAATGTAAAAATGTTGACACCAAGATTAATGTCAAAATAAGAAATAAAGATGCATGTGAAATGCAGACAACTCACAGAATATATTTAGAAATTACATAGGAACTTGTAATCGGAATATACACAGACCCTTGCAATTCAACAATAAATGACAAATAACCTAAATAAAAAATAACAGTTCTGCACAGATATTTCTCCAAAGATATGGAAAAAGTGCTCATCATCAACATTCACTAGGGAAATGCAAACCAAGTCTACAGTGACATCTCACTTGACACCTACTGGTTGGCTTAAGGGGACAACGGCAAAAGTTGGCCAAGCCGGAGACCCCTACACAACTGTAAAGAGGCAGCCACTCTGGCAGCTGGGGGACTCCTTAAACAGCTAAACAGAGTTAAACCATCTAAGAATTCCAGTCCCAAGGCTGTAACCAGAGGATGAAAATGTGTCCATACAACTGTACCTAAATGTTTTCAGCAGCATTACTAGTAACAGATGTGACATGGAAACAGCCCTCGTCCACTAATGAAGAGATTTCAAACTAGGAGTGTCCCCATACAGTGGATTACTGCTGGGCCATGAAAAACCAAGGACCCCATGCCAGCTGCAACACGATGAACCCTGTAACACACTTTGTTAAATGGGAGAAGCTAGACACAAGGGCCACGCACACCTGAGTCTATTTCTGTGGAGTGTCACCAAAGTCAAAATCCAGATAGAGAAGTGCTTTCCATGGACCCACAGGGAGGAGCTGCCAATGGACTTGGGTTTCTTTTTGGAGTGACTTGAGATGTCCCAGCATACGGCAGGATGACAAATACCCAACTCTTGAATATACTGAAAAACCAAGGAATTCTACTTTTTAGTATGTGGATTACAGCTGAATGAAGCTGTTTCTTTTAAACAGGGGCTGGGGTGCAGCTCAGTTACCAGAGCGACTGCACAGCATGCATGAGATCCTGGTTAGACGCCCAGCACTACAGACACAAAACCAAGAAACAGCACTGAGAATTTGGGCTGGGGGGGCAGAGAGAATACGCTAGGATCCTAGCATTTATTTAATGTTAAGGTAATCAGTCCAATTAATCATCTCACTCATTAAAAGAGCTCTAAATGTATTTCAATCCCATCTAATTCAATCCAGATAAAATCATATCTCTTTCTAATTGAATCCAAATTTTCTGTTTGTAAATTAAGACTAGAAAACAGCAAAATATATGCAATCTTATTACATTTCTATTACAGTGTTTCAAGCCTTCCACTGCTTTGGGAGTAACTGTTTTCTGATCTTTATAATTTATCTATGTAAAGCAAGTTAAGAATGCTTAATTTTGTTTTTTTTTTTTTTTTTTTTTTTTGGTTTTTCTCCGGTACCGGGAACCGAACTCACGACCTTGCGCTTGCCAGGCAGGCGCTTTTGCCACTGAGCTAAATCCCCAGCCCCAAGAATGCTTAATTTTGTAATAAAAATGAGCGAAATGCTCCAGTAACAGAAGAAATCAGATCTTAATTCCTCTAGCGCCCTAGTCCATAATGTTTACGTATTTCTAAGTCACATTTGACCCAATAACCAATTTTTAGAAGGCAGTATCTAAAGCCTTGTGTTTAATCAACCAATACTTGAACATTATCTGCCACTGTGTAAGAACCTCAAACAATACTCTAAATTCTGATCTAGAAATTAAACTAGACGTGTGCTAGTAACAGAAAACAGAAAGTAAATGTGCACCCTGCAGTCACGGTGCACTAACCTCACACATTTAAATGCAGCCGTCACACAGGCACACTGCTCAGGCTAGGGCTCTGGGCTCATGCAGCCTCTGAGGTTTCTGAAAGGGAGGTCCCCAAACACTTGTGCTTGAGGAAATCAACACCCTGAAGACTGGGAGGAGAAACTGGAAGCACTTAACGAGAGCAGTGACACTGAAAACAAAACACAAATCCAAAGGCCATCAAAGTGAACCCAATACAGCTGATCTCAAGAGAGGACCAATGCAGCTCAGACTGCACCAGGGCAGGGCCCCAACAGTGGCACCGGATATGAGCTGGTCCAGTCTCCTCTGAAGCTGGGTGACCTCTGGAGGAGAGGAGCGGCGGATGTGGAGCTGCAACCAGGACCCTCACTGTAAGGCCTCCACATTGCTGGACCAATTGCAGGAAGCAAAAAACCAGGTGAGGAGACTGAGAAGAAATCATGAAAAGGCTACGAAAGAAAAGGGAAATAACACTATCTTACAAGCAAGGGGAAGAATAGAAAGAGGGAAGTCACTGAGCCATGCACAATTTGGAAGAATGAATGACTGACAAGAGACCTCTGGACCTGGCCACTGGGCTGCGCCCCTGAGCAGGTGAGGGAATGGGGTCCAAGTCCAGGGCAATGGCCGGAGACGCAGGCATGGAAGAGGCTAAGACAACACATAGGATGGCCAGCAGGGAAAGTGCTGAGTGTAACTCACAAACACTGCTGTAATGTGGAGACCTTCCTGTGCCGCACACTTCATAGCCAAAGGCTGAAAACGCTGTAACACTCAGAAGCACAATCCCAGAGACAGGCTCGAGCAGGCACAGCCTCAAATGCCAGGACATCTGCGGGCACCGAGCACATGCTGACTTAGAGCACTCAAAACACAGGGACCAAGAGAAGGAAGAGCCTGCTGGACCAGATGTGCTCAGGCAGAAAAGGCCTCTCCAGCGGTGGGTTTGGAGCGTGGCGCTAAGTACTAGTTTTAAAAGCAAAAGAACCAGAGAGCTGTGCTTTTTGGAAAGTACACGAAGCCAGGCATAGGAGTGGAGGACAGCTAATTCAGCAGCGAGGCAGAGGAGCCGAGGCCACCCCAGGCAGTAGGTCGAGGAAGGTGTCTAGCTGACACAGGAACCACAACCACTGGACGCAGGAGAGGAAGGAAGGGTCAGGATGGTGAGCAAGAGGCTGGGTGGTGGTGGCATGGTTCTTCGCGAGCAGTAACACAGGTCCTACACTCTGCCTGTGGAAACGGGGCCATGAGGAGATGCACACATTAGTGTCAGCGAATATTCTTAGGGAATCACACACTTCATTTGTTAACCTCCTGAGGAACAGAAGGAGACACCGTGAAATGCAAGCCCCAAGGTCACATGAGCCCGGCCCACCCAAGGCCATCTCTACCTGGCTGTCTCTGGACCTCCCGAGTCTATAGGTCCCTTCAACTGGAACCTGGAGAGTGCAGGGGACCAGGTCACCCCAGTCACCATGCAAACATCTGCAGCTGTCACAGATGCTGACTCAACATTTGGGGTACAGCTGAGAGTCTGCCCACAGGTAAAACTTACTGAAACACAGTTTGAACAATGAAGACCTAAAGGACTCTAAACATAGCACTGAGACCAGCTGCATAAGAGGAAAGAAAAATGAACAAAACCAGATCACAATCACAAAAGGGTATTTCTCCACATTCTGCTCCAGTGAGCACTGGCGAGTGACAGTGTGCTCAGAGCTCCACGCCAGCTGAAACATCGGCTGTGAAAGAAGCCCTGCACAGCTCACCGCCCACCGGCTTCTGTATCTCCACGGAGCCCTCTAACTCTCACACCTCCCAAGTCTCCTCTGTATGCTTACAGACACTGCTCCAGTGATGGAGTCAGTGTGTAGCGCTCCTCCCAGTCACACTGCTGCCCACAGAGGGAAGCACGCTGCCAACCAAATAGTGTGCTCACTACTCTATCATGGGAAGGTGAGCCCTGAGAAGACAGATTTGATTTTCGTAAGCAATTACACCAGCCTAAAAAGTTAATCCAAAGACTATATAAGGTGGTCTATCCTAAACCAAAATGTCAGGCACAGTGGTCTATTTTTATAGTGATAACCTCAAGAACACCAGTCTTGACTCTACAGTTAAAAACAACTACACGAATTAGAGAAAATAGGAATAAATGCTGTTTTTTTTTTTTTGAGATAGGGTCTCGCTACATTGTCCAGGATGGCCTGGAACTCATGGTGATCCTCCTGCCTCAGTCTCCCAAGTGCTGGAACTATAGGCAAGCTACCACACCTGCCAAAAGCTATCTTAACTACCTAAGAAAATTACTGTTTAATTA